GACAAATGCTTGATATACGTAAAAAGACCAAAATGAAAATTGCTTGTCCATACACTTTCTTTGTATAGTTACAGCTGGGCAGTTATATTTCAAACTCTGAAGTTGAGGAAGAAAAGATACTAATAATTTAAAATTATGTTAAACTGGTAAAGTAATATTTACTATGTTGTTATCTTCTGAAGATCCTTCAAATAAAACACAGGAACATCAAGAAAATAAAATTGTGTAATTTAAGAAACTAGCTTAGACTCTCATCTTCTCTACTAGATATATTCTCAAGACAAAAAATACAGTATCTGTGACTTAGGGAAAATAAAAGCACCATAGTAAGGGTGGCAACACATTGGGTCAGAAATTGAAAAGGACAATCATCTTTTAAGTTCACAGTACTTATTTTGTCTGCACATTATAAATACTAGGCTATATATACCAATCTGTAATACCAAAGTTCGCTGACAGGTAAATGACCATTCATTATCAAAATATCAGTAAATAGTTTTCATGTTTATACATCTGCTCTCAACTCTATGGTCTGTTTAAGAAGGCAAACGTGATTATTTTTAGCAAAACAAAGCGGAGTTTCAAGGACCAATTGTATATCTTAGGAACTAAGTACATGCATTATCTTGAAATGCTAAGACTGTGTAAAGAAGAGTCATTAATTAAATAATAGCTTTGATGACTAGATATGTATATCACTACTGAATGAATTAAGCTGCCTATATTCTGCTGAATAGCTTGTAATATTGTTCCTGGGTTAAACTCAGGACTGTAAGCAGCCTTATTTGCAAGCATTTGTGAAGAGAGTTTAAAAAAAAAGGTTATTATGTTGTTATAGGAACAGAAAAAAGGTGACTAAAGAGCTATTTATGAGAAACATGGGGGAAATTAAATGGCTAACCAAGCCATTCTATAGTATTTTTGCCACTATTACTTTGAGTGATTGTATTTTCCCTAAATTATTTCGAATTATTCAGTCAGATAAAATTTTTTTTTTAAGAGAAGGGGTCTCTTTCTCGCTATGTTGCCCAGGCTGGTCTCAAACTCCTGAGCTCAAGTGATTCTCCCGCCTCAGCCTCCCAAGTAGCTGGGACTACAGGCATGCACCATCGAACCCAGCTTAAAAGCTATAATACAGAAGAAAAAGAAAAGAAATTTTCTAGTTACAACAACATAGTTATGATATTTTGGAAACATAAAACCCAGTAATACAATGTGACCAAATTAAGGTAACAATAACTAAAAGCTTATTTTAAAAAATTAGTATCTGAAACAACTAAATTTATTGTAGGTTCTAGAATGTAGTGTGGAATAACACATAATGAATTAATATAGCTAAAGTGCTTAAAACAGTGACTGGCACACAGTAAAGATATTTAACCATTAGACACTATATTATTACCTTTTTCAGCACCTGAATGTATAGTTCCTGCTATATCATGTCTAGCAATGGACATTGGCAATACTTTCCTAGTAGAAATGCTTTCAGTACTAGTGGCAGCAGAAACCGTGGCACTTGCTGTTGAAATATTAGTTTTATTCTTGGTCACAGCACCATCATAGTTCCTTTCATCTGAGTCTGAGTCATCAGAGTGAAGAGGATTAGTAAAACTGAGGGGTGCTCCGAATAGAGGTGAACTATTATGATGATCCACAAGATCATGGGTTTCAACTTGTGCTGTAGGGCTTGGTGTTGAACTCACAGTTTTCATAGTTTGATAGTGGATATCTGAGGATTTTCCTTCAGATGAATCAGGTATGGAGATGGCATTTTCTGGTCCATGAAATGACCATGTTCCATGTCCTTTCTCATCAAGAGGCAAGCAGTCTGGCCTTGGAGGTGTGTCTGAATTCTTCTGTGATTCTTCTGGTGGAGTAACTGGAACTCTGTTTGACTGTGTTGTACTGCAGTCCACACAAGAATTCTGAGAAATATCACCAACTTTTAGATCCCCTGAACTTAAGTCCTGTGTTTTAGAGATTTTATCAATTATGCAAGGTGAAGACGATTTAATTTTAATTGCATGTCCCCTATTCAAAAGTGTGTTCCCATCAAAACTTTTTGGTCCCTCTTGGAGAGGGACCTTCTTAATCTCAAAACTTAGATTTCGCTCCAGTTTTTTATCTATCTGTTCAATAGTTGATTCATTTTTCCCTGGAAGTTCTGTTGATTTATTATAGTTTCTGTTGAGGTCTGTTGAATGTTGTTCTGATGAAACCATGTGTAACACTGGCTTTGGATGGTATCTGTCATTGTCCTGCCACACAGTAGTGACTGTTGGAAAAGCTGAGGGAGGAGAAGGTGTTAATATGGGTGGCACTGGATGAGGTTCTGGTGGCTGCAGTATTTCTTCTTTAGCATCCCCTTCTACAAGGCAACTGAAAAACAAACATTAAAAAAGGGTATTTTAAGAATGTCTCTTCTTTTGAAAACAAGTTGTTAGATGACAATTATGTAGCCAAACCTATTATATTAAAAGCCATTGCAATTTGTGGTAATGAATAAAAAATTATAATTTTTCAAACTAAGAAAATTTAATGTTTATCAAGGTTATACACATATTATATTGCTTAAAAGTGAAATACAAGACTTTTTACTCTTTTTTCTTTTGAGACGAGGTCTTGTTCTGTCACTTGGGCTATAGTGCAGTAGTGCAATCATACATAGTTCATAGCTCACCGTAACCTCAAACTCCTGGGCTCAAGCGATCCTCCTGCCTCAAGCCTCCTAAGTAGCTGGGACCACAGGCCCATGACGCCACACCCAGCTAATTTTAAAAAATTTGGGGGGGAAGACAGGATCTCACTATGTTGCCCAGGCTGGTCTTGAACTCCTGGCCTCAAGCAATCCTCCCACCCTGGACTCCCAAAGTGCTGGGATTATAGGCATCAGCCACCATGCCCAATCCCCAAGTATAACAAACATAAGCCACTGAGCCTGGCCTGATTTTTCTATTTTTATCCAGCTGCTTTCTTATAAATTAATCATCTTAAGGCAACTTATTTAGTTTAATATAGTTGTTTAAAAAAAGAATAAACAATAGGAAAAATAACATTTCAAAAAAGAAACAAACAGAAAAAAAATGAAGTAAAATAATACCTATTTTGTGTGACATGAATTTCTCCCATCACCTAATTTTCTACTTGCCATTTTCCCAGGGTCATAGTTCACCAGTGTTCAACTATATTCTGTACTATTTGAGGATTCAACAAATTAGGTAGCTTCAAATGCCTCTATTTAGACAGACTTCAACAAATGCCCTCACCTATCCAGGATATTCCAAGAGCTATAGACTATAAGATAGGTATGAAAGTCTAGTTCATTTTCCCAGGCAACACTTAAAGGGAATAAATATTCGTGTATTTCCACCAAATACAAAACTCTTTCCTTCATGGCCTCTAAAACATCACTATTTCCTGGTTTTCCTTTATCCCTTGATTGTTCTTCCTCCTTTTCTATGGCTTTCTTTTAGTCTGCTCTTCACAAATTTTGGTGTTTACTAGGGTCACCTCCTTGGTATTTCGTTATGTTATACCCAAAATATAAAAGATTTTATCCATGCCCAAGACTTCAATTATCAGTTATATACCAAACCTTCAATAAATCTTTACCTCCAGCCTAGACATCAAAATGACTAAAGCACAACCACATTGTCTTCCTCCCAATCCTATTCCTACTGAAAATTGTTTGATTAGAGAGGCTTTAGAAGCAAAAATCAAGTGTATTGTCACTGTCTCTGAAATATTAAATAGATTATGAAAAATTTACTAAGGCATGCACCCTTTTGTGTCTCCACAGTAAATGTGTTGACAGCTTATAGAAACAGCTAACAAGGTATACTTCCAACACGCTGGTTTAAGTGAATAAATTATAAAGAATTGTATTAGTTTAACAGTATGTATTTAGAACAGAAAATGAAATGTGCTATTCAAAATCTACAGTATAATTTCTTTAAGTATTTATAAATCTAAAGCATTTGGGTGATTAAATCTAATACAACAAACATGAGCCTTCCTCTCTAAATTCTTTCTCTGCTAACATGTATTTTAAACAACCAATTAATTTGTTTGCTATAGCTATATGAATAACTAAGTATACTATTTTTTATCATTCTTATGATTTTTTAATTTTAATTTCAGTTATACGTGGGAACAATTTACAATAGACTAAAACTCATCTCAACTTGGAAGTCACAAGGTACTCTCTGTGGAACACAATGAAATTCTGGCATTTGACTCCACTGCGTAAAGAAGAAAAAAGACGACCTATGAATGTAATATAAAACCACACAGGCATAAAACTTTGAGCATGTATGCCCAATAAAAACCTGTCTTAAGCTGAATGGATATTTTCCTGTTAATACTCATTTACTACTTCTCTATTATCTTTTTGTTTTTTAAAGAATTAACAAGAGTCAAATTTTTGAAAAGGTACAGGACAAAGGCTTAAAATTCAGAATAGGCTATTCATTTTTTTCCTATAAAATTAGGAAAATGCTATCACTATATGTTGTTAGAGGCAGAAGAACATATAAATCATACATATCAGTATAGACTTTGAGAACATATAAATCATATATATCGGTATAGACTTTGAGAACCGCTATATTGGCTCAATTTCAAAAACAAAATTAAAGATGATTAAGGTAGCAAAAATGTTCCTTAATTTCCTTTAAGGCCAATAGTTTCTTTCAGGACCCCAGAACTCCTAGGTGGGACAGAGAAATTATAGAACTAATAGTTTATAAGTTTTAACTGGCTACCTTCCACAGGAGGCTAAAATGCCAATTTTGGTATATACTAAAGTGGAAATCAATCATGAAAGAACTACTGGGAAGTTCTGTTAGTACACAGTTAACATCTTAAGTATTTAAATGTTGAGACCTAACCTCAACTGTATATAGGCTTCCTTAGAGAGGCACAGAAAGGTTTTCCAGAGACTTTAACAACTACCACATCTTTATAAAAGCTACTACCACAGGTCAAGCATGTATGTAGCTATATGCTTTATATACATTATCACTAATTGTTACAATGTTAAAAAGTAGTGCTGTATCTCAATACAATGAGGTAAAGACTTTTCAGAGAAGTAGCTTGTCCAAGTTCATTCAATTGGTAAATCCTGGAGTTAAAATTTGAAATAAGATCTACCAATGTAAAAGCCTCTTTATACAAGAGTATACTGCCTCTTTCCATACTCAGAAAGATTCCTTCATGGGCAGTTAGAATCTTGCATGGTCAAAATGGGAACAAATTGCTCCTATGAAGTTCAGGGATTCTGGTCAAACCTTTGGTTATTGAGGAAAGTTGTAGACTTTTTCTTTTGTAAAGAGGAATGATCTCATTAGGGTGATCTTTTGGCATTAGTAACTCAAAGCCAAGACCCAACTCTAACCATCTCACCCAACTTTAGACAACTTCCACCAAACTTTTATAAGGGGGAAAGAAAAGAAAGAGAAGGGAAAGAGGA